GCGCCAGCGATAAATGCACGCTGCCAAACGATCTACCGCGAATCTATCATGCATGCCGCATCAGCACAGGTCACTAGCACGCTCTTGAAAGCACAAAAGGGGTCCGCCAAAGCGACCCCGTCCAGGTCGCTGCTTCGAGCCTGGCAGTGGCCTTGACACTGGGCAGTGGATCTAGCGCGACCACAGTGGATGGGCCCACTGTTCCGGCGGAGCTAACAGTAGTCAAATAGCAATCAAAAAGCATAGCCACTCCATGCCAGTCAAAGAGAGTCAAGAGGTTCAGCACAAAACAGCACACTACCGTCAGGCGGTAGCAGCAGGCAGTAAGTGAGCTGACGAAATAACACAGTAGGCAGCAAAACATGGTGGCGGTGGGTGGCGAATAGCTGCGAGGTGGTGTGACAGCGATGCAGTGGTCGGAAGAGCACGTGGGAAGCGTAGACAAGCAAAAGAAGCAAGTCGGCGACAGTAGTTTGGTGGTGCAAAAGAAGCTCTCCCAGCTGGGTTTGAACCAGCGACCTTGAGGTTAACAGCCGCACGCTCTACCAACTGAGCTATAGGAGAAGCACGACAAGCTAACCACCGCACCGCATTGCCAAAACTGCATTCTCAACGAGTACACACGCAACCACACAAAACCGCACCGCCGTACGCCCTCTTACCAGCTAGCGCCTCGCACACACTTCGGCTAGCACCCACCCAGCCTTTGAACATGTCCAACACAATTCAAACTGACAAGAAAGTTGGACGCGCGCCAGCGATAAATGCACGCTGCCAAACGATCTACCGCGAATCTATCATGCATGCCGCATCAGCACAGGTCACTAGCACGCTCTCGAAAGCACAAAAGTGGTCCGCCAAAGCGACCCCGTCCAGGTCGCTGCTTCGAGCCTGGCAGTGGCCTTGACACTGGGCAGTGGATCTAGCGCGACCACAGTGAATGGGCCCACTGTTCCGGCGGAGCTAACAGTAGTCAAATAGCAATCGGAAAGTATAGCCATCCGGCCAGTGAAAGAGGGCCAAGAGGCTCAGCACAAAGCAGCACACTACCGTCAGGCGGTAGCAGCAGGCAGTAAGTGAGCTGACGAAATAAAACACTGTAGGCAGCAAAACATGGTGGCGGTGGGTGGCGAATAGCTGCGAGGTGGTGTGACAGCGATGCAGTGGTCGGAAGAGCACGTGGGAAGCGTAGACAAGCAAAAGAAGCAAGTCGGCGACAGTAGTTTGGTGGTGCAAAAGAAGCTCTCCCAGCTGGGTTTGAACCAGCGACCTTGAGGTTAACAGCCGCACGCTCTACCAACTGAGCTATAGGAGAAGCACGACAAGCTAACCACCGCACCGCATCCCAAAAACTGCATTCTCAGCGAGTACACACGCAACCACACAAATCCGCACCGTTGTACGCCCTCTTACCAGCTAGCGCCTCGCACACACCTTGTCTAGCACCCACCCAGCCTTTGAACATGTCCAACACAATTCAAACTGACAAGAAAGTTGGACGCGCGCCAGCGATAAATGAACGCTGCCAAACGATCTACCGCGAATCTATCATGCATGCCGCATCAGCACAGGTCACTAGCACGCTCTTGAAAGCACAAAAGTGGTCCGCCAAAGCGACCCCGTCCAGGTCGCTGCTTCGAGCCTGGCAGTGGCCTTGACACTGGGCAGTGGATCTAGCGCGACCACAGTGAATGGGCCCACTGTTCCGGCGGAGCTAACAGTAGTCAAATAGCAATCGGAAAGTATAGCCATCCGGCCAGTGAAAGAGGGCCAAGAGGCTCAGCACAAAGCAGCACACTACCGTCAGACGGTAGCAGCAGGCAGTAAGTGAGCTGACGAAATAAAACACTGTAGGCAGCAAAACATGGTGGCGGTGGGTGGCGAATAGCTGCGAGGTGGTGTGACAGCGATGCAGTGGTCGGAAGAGCACGTGAGAAGCGTAGACAAGCAAAAGAAGCAAGTCGGCGACAGTAGTTTGGTGGTGCAAAAGAAGCTCTCCCAGCTGGGTTTGAACCAGCGACCTTGAGGTTAACAGCCGCACGCTCTACCAACTGAGCTATAGGAGAAGCACGACAAGCTAACCACCGCACCGCATTGCGAAAACTGCATTCTCAACGAGTACACACGCAACCACACAAAACCGCACCGCCGTACGCTCTCTTACCAGCTAGCGCCTCGCACACACTTCGGCTAGCACCCACCCAGCCTTTGAACATGTCCAACACAATTCAAACTGACAAGAAAGTTGGACGCGCACCAGCGATAAATGAGCGCTGCCAAACGATCTACCGCGAATCTATCATGCATGCCGCATCAGCACAGGTCACTAGCACGCTCTCGAAAGCACAAAAGGGGTCCGCCAAAGCGACCCCGTCCAGGTCGCTGCTTCGAGTCTGGCAGTGGCCTTGACACTGGGCAGTGGATCTAGCGCGACCACAGTGGATGGGCTCACTGTTCCGGTGGAGCTAACAGTAGTCAAATAGCAATCGGAAAGCATAGCCATCCATCCAGTCAAAGAGAGTCAAGAGGTTCAGCACAAAACAGCACACTACCGTCAGGCGGTAGCAGCAGGCAGTAAGTGAGCTGACGAAATAAAACACTGTAGGCAGCAAAACATGGTGGCGGTGGGTGGCGAATAGCTGCGAGGTGGTGTGACAGCGATGCAGTGGTCGGAAGAGCACGTGGGAAGCGTAGACAAGCAAAAGAAGCAAGTCGGCGACAGTAGTTTGGTGGTGCAAAAGAAGATCTCCCAGCAGGGTTTGAACCAGCGACCTTGAGATTAACAGCCGCACGCTCTACCAACTGAGCTATAGGAGAAGCACGACAAGCTAACCACCGCACCGCATCGCAAAAACTGCATTCTCAACGAGTACACACGCAACCACACAAAACCGCACCGCCGTACGCCCTCTTACCAGCTAGCGCCTCGCACACACCTCGTCTAGCACCCACCCAGCCTTTGAACATGTCCAACACAATTCAAACTGACAAGAAAGTTGGACGCGCGCCAGCGATAAATGCACGCTGCCAAACGATCTACCGCGAATCTATCATGCGTGCCGCATCAGCACAGGTCACTAGCACGCTCTCGAAAGCACAAAAGGGGTCCACCAAAGCGACCCCGTCCAGGTCGCTGCTTCGAGCCTGGCAGTGGCCTTGACACTGGGCAGTGGATCTAGCGCGACCACAGTGGATGGGCTCACTGTTCCGGCGGAGCTAACAGTAGTCAAATAGCAATCGGAAAGCATAGCCATCCAGCCAGTCAAAGAGAGTCAAGAGGTTCAGCACAAAACAGCACACTACCGTCAGGCGGTAGCAGCAGGCAGTAAGTGAGCTGACGAAATAAAACACTGTAGGCAGCAAAACATGGTGGCGGTGGGTGGCGAATAGCTGCGAGGTGGTGTGACAGCGATGCAGTGGTCGGAAGAGCACGTGGGAAGCGTAGACAAGCAAAAGAAGCAAGTCGGCGACAGTAGTTTGGTGGTGCAAAAGAAGCTCTCCCAGCTGGGTTGGAACCAGCGACCTTGAGGTTAACAGCCGCACGCTCTACCAACTGAGCTATAGGAGAAGCACGACAAGCTTACCACCGCACCGCATTGCCAAAACTGCATTCTCAACGAGTACACACGCAACCACACAAAACCGCACCGCCGTACGCCCTCTTACCAGCTAGCGCCTCGCACACACCTCGTCTAGCACCCACCCAGCCTTTGAACATGTCCAACACAATTCAAACTGACAAGAAAGTTGGACGCGCGCCAGCGATAAATGAACGCTGCCAAACGATCTACCGCGAATCTATCATGCATGCCGCATCAGCACAGGTCACTAGCACGCTCTCGAAAGCACAAAAGGGGTCCACCAAAGCGACCCCGTCCAGGTCGCTGCTTCGAGTCTGGCAGTGGCCTTGACACTGGGCAGTGGATCTAGCGCGACCACAGTGGATGGGCTCACTGTTCCGGCGGAGCTAACAGTAGTCAAATAGCAATCGGAAAGTATAGCCATCCGGCCAGTGAAAGAGGGTCAAGAGGTTCAGCACAAAGCAGCACACTACCGTCAGGCGGTAGCAGCAGGCAGTAAGTGAGCTGACGAAATAAAACACTGTAGGCAGTAAAACATGGTGGCGGTGGGTGGCGAATAGCTGCGAGGTGGTGTGACAGCGATGCAGTGGTCGGAAGAGCACGTGGGAAGCGTAGACAAGCAAAAGAAGCAAGTCGGCGACAGTAGTTTGGTGGTGCAAAAGAAGCTCTCCCAGCTGGGTTTGAACCAGCGACCTTGAGGTTAACAGCCGCACGCTCTACCAACTGAGCTATAGGAGAAGCACGACAAGCTAACCACCGCACCGCATTGCCAAAACTGCATTCTCAACGAGTACACACGCAACCACACAAAACCGCACCGCCGTACGCCCTCTTACCAGCTAGCGCCTCGCACACACCTCGTCTAGCACCCACCCAGCCTTTGAACATGTCCAACACAATTCAAACTGACAAGAAAGTTGGACGCGCGCCAGCGATAAATGAACGCTGCCAAACGATCTACCGCGAATTTATCATGCATGCCGCATCAGCACAGGTCACTAGCACGCTCTCAAAAGTACAAAAGGGGTCCACCAAAGCGACCCCGTCCAGGTCGCTGCTTCGAGTCTGGCAGTGGCCTTGACACTGGGCAGTGGATCTAGCGCGACGACAGTGGATGGGCTCACTGTTCCGGCGGAGCTAACAGTAGTCAAATAGCAATCGGAAAGCATAGCCATCCAGCCAGTCAAAGAGAGTCATGAGGTTCAGCACAAAACAGCACACTACCGTCATGCGGTAGCAGCAGGCAGTAAGTGAGCTGACGAAATAAAACACGGTAGGGCAGTAAAAACATGGTGGCGGTGGGTGGCGAATAGCTGCGAGGTGGTGTGACAGCGATGCAGTGATCGGAAGAGCACGTGGGAAGCGTAGACAAGCAAAAGAAGCAAGTCGGCGACAGTAGTTTGGTGGGTGCAAAAGAAGCTCTCCCAGCTGGGGTTTGGACCCAGCGCCCCTGGAGGTTTAACACCCGCACGCTCTACCAACTGAGTTATAGGAGAAAGCACGACAAACTTATCCCCCGCCACGGCATTGCGCAAACTGCATTTTCAAGAGTACACACGCAACCACCAAAAACCGGCCCGCCGTACGCCCTCTTACCAGCTAGCGCCTCGCACACACCTCGTCTAGCACCCACCCAGCCTTTGAACATGTCCAACACAATTCAAACTGACAAGAAAGTTGGACGCGCGCCAGCGATAAATGAACGCTGCCAAACGATCTACCGCGAATTTATCATGCATGCCGCATCAGCACAGGTCACTAGCACGCTCTCGAAAGCACAAAAGGGGTCCACCAAAGCGACCCCGTCCAGGTCGCTGCTTCGAGTCTGGCAGTGGCCTTGACACTGGGCAGTGGATCTAGCGCGACGACAGTGGATGGGCTCACTGTTCCGGCGGAGCTAACAGTAGTCAAATAGCAATCGGAAAGCATAGCCATCCAGCCAGTCAAAGAGAGTCAAGAGGTTCAGCACAAAACAGCACACTACCGTCAGGCGGTAGCAGCAGGCAGTAAGTGAGCTGACGAAATAAAACACGGTAGGCAGTAAAACATGGTGGCGGTGGGTGGCGAATAGCTGCGAGGTGGTGTGACAGCGATGCAGTGGTCGGAAGAGCACGTGGGAAGCGTAGACAAGCAAAAGAAGCAAGTCGGCGACAGTAGTTTGGTGGTGCAAAAGAAGCTCTCCCAGCTGGGTTTGAACCAGCGACCTTGAGGTTAACAGCCGCACGCTCTACCAACTGAGCTATACGAGAAGCACGACAAGCTAACCACCGCACCGCATTGCCAAAACTGCATTCTCAACGAGTACACACGCAACCACACAAAACCGCACCGCCGTACGCCCTCTTACCAGCTAGCGCCTCGCACACACCTCGTCTAGCACCCACCCAGCCTTTGAACATGTCCAACACAATTCAAACTGACAAGAAAGTTGGACGCGCGCCAGCGATATATGAACGCTGCCAAACGATCTACCGCGAATTTATCATGCATGCCGCATCAGCACAGGTCACTAGCACGCTCTCAAAAGTACAAAAGGGGTCCACCAAAGCGACCCCGTCCAGGTCGCTGCTTCGAGTCTGGCAGTGGCCTTGACACTGGGCAGTGGATCTAGCGCGACGACAGTGGATGGGCTCACTGTTCCGGCGGAGCTAACAGTAGTCAAATAGCAATCGGAAAGCATAGCCATCCAGCCAGTCAAAGAGAGTCAAGAGGTTCAGCACAAAACAGCACACTACCGTCAGGCGGTAGCAGCAGGCAGTAAGTGAGCTGACGAAATAAAACACGGTAGGCAGTAAAACATGGTGGCGGTGGGTGGCGAATAGCTGCGAGGTGGTGTGACAGCGATGCAGTGGTCGGAAGAGCACGTGGGAAGCGTAGACAAGCAAAAGAAGCAAGTCGGCGACAGTAGTTTGGTGGTGCAAAAGAAGCTCTCCCAGCTGGGTTTGAACCAGCGACCTTGAGGTTAACAGCCGCACGCTCTACCAACTGAGCTATAGGAGAAGCACGACAAGCTAACCACCGCACCGCATTGCCAGAACTGCATTCTCAACGAGTACACACGCAACCACACAAAACCGCACCGCCGTACGCCCTCTTACCAGCTAGCGCCTCGCACACACCTCGTCTAGCACCCACCCAGCCTTTGAACATGTCCAACACAATTCAAACTGACAAGAAAGTTGGACGCGCGCCAGCGATAAATGAGCGCTGCCAAACGATCTACCGCGAATTTATCATGCATGCCGCATCAGCACAGGTCACTAGCACGCTCTCGAAAGCACAAAAGGGGTCCGCCAAAGCGACCCCGTCCAGGTCGCTGCTTCGAGCCTGGAAGTGGCCTTGACACTGGGCAGTGGATCTAGCGCGACCACAGTGAATGGGCTCACTCTTCCGGCGGAGCTAACAGTAGTCAAATAGCAATCAAAAAGCATAGCCATCCAGCCAGTCAAAGAGAGTTAAGAGGTTCAGCACAAAACAGCACACTACCGTCAGGCGGTAGCAGCAGGCAGTAAGTGAGCTGACGAAATAAAACACTGTAGGCAGTAAAACATGGTGGCGGTGGGTGGCGAATAGCTGCGAGGTGGTGTGACAGCGATGCAGTGGTCGGAAGAGCACGTGGGAAGCGTAGACAAGCAAAAGAAGCAAGTCGGCGACAGTAGTTTGGTGGTGCAAAAGAAGCTCTCCCAGCTGGGTTTGAGCCAGCGACTTTGAGGTTAACAGCCGCACGCTCTACCAACTGAGCTATAGGAGAAGCACGACAAGCTAACCACCGCACCGCATTGCCAAAACTGCATTCTCAACGAGTACACACGCAACCACACAAAACCGCACCGCCGTACGCCCTCTTACCAGCTAGCGCCTCGCACACACCTCGTCTAGCACCCACCCAGCCTTTGAACATGTCCAACACAATTCAAACTGACAAGAAAGTTGGACGCGCGCCAGCGATAAATGAGCGCTGCCAAACGATCTACCGCGAATTTATCATGCATGCCGCATCAGCACAGGTCACTAGCACGCTCTCAAAAGTACAAAAGGGGTCCACCAAAGCGACCCCGTCCAGGTCGCTGCTTCGAGTCTGGCAGTGGCCTTGACACTGGGCAGTGGATCTAGCGCGACGACAGTGGATGGGCTCACTGTTCCGGCGGAGCTAACAGTAGTCAAATAGCAATCGGAAAGCATAGCCATCCAGCCAGTCAAAGAGAGTCAAGAGGTTCAGCACAAAACAGCACACTACCGTCAGGCGGTAGCAGCAGGCAGTAAGTGAGCTGACGAAATAAAACACGGTAGGCAGTAAAACATGGTGGCGGTGGGTGGCGAATAGCTGCGAGGTGGTGTGACAGCGATGCAGTGGTCGGAAGAGCACGTGGGAAGCGTAGACAAGCAAAAGAAGCAAGTCGGCGACAGTAGTTTGGTGGTGCAAAAGAAGCTCTCCCAGCTGGGTTTGAACCAGCGACCTTGAGGTTAACAGCCGCACGCTCTACCAACTGAGCTATAGGAGAAGCACGACAAGCTAACCACCGCACCGCATTGCCAAAACTGCATTCTCAACGAGTACACACGCAACCACACAAAACCGCACCGCCGTACGCCCTCTTACCAGCTAGCGCCTCGCACACACCTCGTCTAGCACCCACCCAGCCTTTGAACATGTCCAACACAATTCAAACTGACAAGAAAGTTGGACGCGCGCCAGCGATAAATGAGCGCTGCCAAACGATCTACCGCGAATTTATCATGCATGCCGCATCAGCACAGGTCACTAGCACGCTCTCAAAAGTACAAAAGGGGTCCACCAAAGCGACCCCGTCCAGGTCGCTGCTTCGAGTCTGGCAGTGGCCTTGACACTGGGCAGTGGATCTAGCGCGACGACAGTGGATGGGCTCACTGTTCCGGCGGAGCTAACAGTAGTCAAATAGCAATCGGAAAGCATAGCCATCCAGCCAGTCAAAGAGAGTCAAGAGGTTCAGCACAAAACAGCACACTACCGTCAGGCGGTAGCAGCAGGCAGTAAGTGAGCTGACGAAATAAAACACGGTAGGCAGTAAAACATGGTGGCGGTGGGTGGCGAATAGCTGCGAGGTGGTGTGACAGCGATGCAGTGGTCGGAAGAGCACGTGGGAAGCGTAGACAAGCAAAAGAAGCAAGTCGGCGACAGTAGTTTGGTGGTGCAAAAGAAGCTCTCCCAGCTGGGTTTGAACCAGCGACCTTGAGGTTAACAGCCGCACGCTCTACCAACTGAGCTATAGGAGAAGCACGACAAGCTAACCACCGCACCGCATCGCAAAAACTGCATTCTCAACGAGTACACACGCAACCACACAAAACCGCACCGCCGTACGCCCTCTTACCAGCTAGCGCCTCGCACACACCTCGTCTAGCACCCACCCAGCCTTTGAACATGTCCAGCACAATTCAAACTGACAAGAAAGTTGGACGCGCGCCAGCGATAAATGACACGCTGCCAAAACGATCTACCGCGAATCTATCATGCATGCCGCATCAGCATAGGTCACTAGCACGCTCTCGAAAGCACAAAAGGGGTCCGCCAAAGCGACCCCGTCCAGGTCGCTGCTTCGAGCCTGGCAGTGGCCTTGACACTGGGCAGTGGATCTAGCGCGACCACAGTGGATGGGCTCACTGTTCCGGCGGAGCTAACAGTAGTCAAAAAACAATCGGAAAGCATAGCCATCCAGCCAGTCAAAGAGAGTCAAGAGGTTCAGCACAAAACAGCACACTACCGTCAGGCGGTAGCAGCAGGCAGTAAGTGAGCTGACGAAATAAAACACTGTAGGCAGCAAAACATGGTGGCGGTGGGTGGCGAATAGCTGCGAGGTGGTGTGACAGCGATGCAGTGGTCGGAAGAGCACGTGGGAAGCGTAGACAAGCAAAAGAAGCAAGTCGGCGACAGTAGTTTGGTGGTGCAAAAGAAGCTCTCCCAGCTGGGTTTGAACCAGCGACCTTGAGGATAACAGCCGCACGCTCTACCAACTGAGCTATAGGAGAAGCACGACAAGCTAACCACCGCACCGCATCGCGAAAACTGCATTCTCAACGAGTACACACGCAACCACACAAAACCGCACCGCCGTACGCCCTCTTACCGGCTAGCGCCTCGCACACACTTCGGCTAGCACCCACCCAGCCTTTGAACATGTCCAACACAATTCAAACTGACAAGAAAGTTGGACGCGCGCCAGCGATAAATGCACGCTGCCAAACGATCTACCGCGAATCTATCATGCATGCCGCATCAGCACAGGTCACTAGCACGCTCTAGAAAGCACAAAAGGGGTCCGCCAAAGCGACCCCGTCCAGGTCGCTGCTTCGAGCCTGGCAGTGGCCTTGACACTGGGCAGTGGATCTAGCGCGACCACAGTGGATGGGCTCACTGTTCCGGCGGAGCTAACAGTAGTCAAATAGCAATCGGAAAGTATAGCCATCCGGCCAGTGAAAGAGGGTCAAGAGGCTCAGCACAAAGCAGCACACTACCGTC